GAGGGAACCACTCCTGTTTCGCCCTGGAGATCCTGGCGGTGGAGGAGGGAAGCCGGCGGAAGCAGCTGCAGTCGGCCCGCTCCATCGATGATGAATATACCCCGACTATTTTTGAGGTACGGCCGGGGGTATCCGCTTTGGGTCCAGTCAAGAGCCTTGGGTTCTCTCAGGCCTTGGTTGGCTGGATTCGCATGGGGCTCTAGGCTCAGATGAGCTCCCAAAGGCGGAAGGGGACCGAGGCTTCCCAAGAGCCTGAAGGAAAATTTTTTGTCCCAACAAAAATCCTGTTATTAATTGACTGTGAATTCTGCTCCTTCACCTCCAGCAAAGTCTTTCAAGGGAGGATTTACGGTCACAGACCTTATCTGGCTTGGAGAGCTGCCAGGCCGATCTCTGCAGAACTTGGCCAGGAGTCTCGGAGAGTCACGAACCAATTAAGTGAACTAATTGCCTCCTGCAAACTCCACTCCCGTTTCGCTCCTCTTTATTTCCTCTGGGCGGGGCCATTCACCATCCCCCTGTGGCCTTCCTCCCAAGTCGACCCCTGTTCTTTAGCCGTTCCCTTCATCTGGCCATTCTGTGCATGCACACACTGGGAACAGGCTCCAGCTGTTCTTCTGCCTCACTGATGTCCAACTCCGAAGGCAGCTGATAACTGTCAGGCGGCCTCAGCCCCCTCTCTGCCTCCGACACAGAGCCCTCATCCGAGCCTTCCCCAGACTCCAGGACTGGCCCAGGTTCCTCCCCAACCCTCCTCATTGTCCGAATCGGCTGCCAGCTCCCCTGGCGGGTCACAACAACAACTTGCCACGACCGACTCGCTGCAGCCGACTGGTAGTAACCAACTCGTTGTGGCCAATTCACTGCGGGATAAGAGTCACACTAATATCAAAGAAACGGCAGAATAAAATCATGAAAGAAAGGGTGCCAAAAAAAGGCGGGATGGAATGAAACGTGAATGACAAAAATTAAAATATTTTTACATTTTATTTCCAATCATTCCATAGAGTTGTTGGATTGTCCTGCAGCAAGTTGTCCTAGGCAGGTTGCTCATGGCAGGTTGAATTAAGGAGAAACTTCCTAACAGTGAGGACCACTAACCCAGTGTTTCTCAACCTTGGTGACTTTAAGTCTCGTGGACTTCAACTTCCAGAATTCCCCCAGCCAGCTCTGCTGGCTGGGGGATTCTGGGAGTTGAAGTCCACGGGACTTAAAGTTGCCAAGGTTGAGAAACACTGCACTAACCAGTGGAACAACTTGCCACCAGAAATCGTGGGCGCCCCATCGTTAGATGTTTTTAAGAGCCTGGACAGCCACTTATCTGAAATAGTATAGGTTCTCCTGCTTTGTGCAGGGGAGGCTGGACTAGAAGACCTCCAAGGTCCCTTTCCAGCTCATTCATTCTATTCTGTCCTGCGGCAAGTTGGCCACGGCGAGTTGTCATAGACAACTCTGTGAAGATGCTTTTCCAAAAGGCATCTATACATCTTCAACTTCTTTTAAGGACCCTCATATAATCCCTTGTGGGGGCATGGAGTCTGGAGCAACTGAATGGAGCTGAATGTTTACTGGCCAGATGCCTTTCCTGTCACCAGGGCGGAGTTTAGTTCAGCAAGATATATTCTCATTGTGCCCAGAGAGAGAAATATCTGTCGCTACCCAGGACCGAATTTGCGGCCTCCTGAGTGTGAGGCACCACCTCTAAGCCACCGCACCACTCTTTCTTGGTTGTTGTACCTGGGGGGGGGGGCACACAAAACAACCCCCCCCCCAAATGGAGGCTAACAACGACGTTGCGTTTCTCTTTCCTTTCCTCCCAGATGGTCCAACTCATCTCCGAGCCCCTCAACCACAGTCTGGGCTCCAGCTTCCTGCAGTGGAAGGCGGCCGCCTACAGCTCTAAAAAACCCCATCGGGAAGACACCGTCCACTGTCAGTATTACCCCCTCCAGGCAGTCGGCACCCTCGGTCCCGAGTTCAGGATTCTCCGAGCTTACTTTGGGGAAGACGTCGCAAGACGCTGCAGCCTCTCTGCCCTTAATATCTCCTTTGGCAGCGAGGACAATGAAGCCTACAAGGAAAAGGGCTACTTGAGCTGGTGAGGACCCCTTTGAGGGGGGTGTTCGGGGGGTGTCTTTTTGCCGGGAGCCGAGTGTGGGATGTCTGTCCGAGTTTGTTGCAGAAAGATCAAATTTGGAAAGCACACACAGCTAACCGATTCCGCAGGATTCATTAACTTCTCTATATACCGTATTTTTCGGAGTATAAGACGCACCTTTTTCCCTCAAAAAAGAGGCTGAAAATCTGGGTGTGTCTTATACACCAAATACAGCATTTTTTGTCTCCTGAAACTCCGCCCCTTCACCAAAATGGCTCTGTATACCCTTATGGAGGCTTTCAGAGAGCTCCCGGGGCTGGGGAGGGCAGAAATGAGCAAAAAACAGGCCGTTTTTTGCCCCCCCCC